GAAAATATCATTTCGGCCGTTTTTATGTGTGATAACAGAACCTAAATCGAGGTAAGGCTAGGCCTAGCCTAGCAGCGCTGGATAGGCTAATGTTTTCGGCGCCTACGTTATTTCTTCGCACGACCTATGGCAAAATCAAAATGAAAAATTCATCCGCATTTATTTTTTGTGTGGAACACAAAAAATCAAATTTCAGTCTTATTTTACATTTTTTTCATTCTTAGGAATGTCTAAATTCAGTTAAACTACCAATTCCGTATTATATTTATAAATCTTTATAAGATTATACAAAAATTAGATTTTTCTTAAAAATTGAAATTTTGCCGGGAATGGGGCTTTAAACAAGCATATCTCGGCCTAACCAAACGACCGCATTGTGCGAGATGCGAAGTACATAAAGTAATCTCATTAGAGAGGGCGCACTTTATTGACTGTATAAAGTATACATAAAAGCGAGAGTATTCCAGTGGATGCGATCTACAACCTCTGAATTTGCCTAGTAACGATGAATTCGTCGAGAAAAATGGTAATATTTTATGAGAAATAGTCTGTATTTCTCATTTTTTTTATTCTTTTGCGTAAAACTAATATTCATGCCAATATTTTTCCATGATTTATAATAATTGGAGTAATGCAAATGCATATTTTCTATAAAAAAAAAAAGTCATTTTTAGTGAAATTTTGCCGGGAATGGGGCTTTAACCCTAAAATGACTTAGGTTATTATAATCCTCAATCATTTATTAAATATCTGTTAAAATTAGAATTAGCGAATTTTGGCCAATTTATGGAAATTGAAGTTGAAATATACTATACTTTTAAGGTCATGTAAATGTTCCATTAAATGCGAAACTTTTTTTGGTGGAAAATAGTAATATGTTTGATATTTTATGAGAGATAATTGATGTATCAGCTTTAAAGTGGAAACTATTGCGCAACCATAGTGATTGACTGTTAGTGCGCATCGAGAAAAGAAGGTGCTCTCCATTTCACCATGTTCAATTTTTTGGTAAACTATGCCTGCTGAAAATTTGATGGCGGGGAACACATGGGACTTCAAAGGCATCGCCCAAACGTTCTTCACGCGCTGCAGCAGCTTTGATCTTGGTTCAACTGCATAGCGCTGCGTGCGCGTAGCTTTTTCGAGTGATCTTATAATAGAGCGCTAACAGCAATGTATTCGATGTTCGAAATACGCAGAGCTGTGTGTGTGTACCAGACGGCTTAAGGTAGGCTCAGGTCGACACGGAACTGAAAGGAACTCAACTCAACTCAACTCAACTCAACTCGTCGACATGAGCGCTCCGCGCAACTGAAAGGAACTGAACGCAACTGAAAGGAACTGAGCTCCACATCTAGATGTGTATAAGAGACAGAGACAATATCACACTCACATAAACAGCAAAA